GAAAATTATTTTATAAAAATATCTAAATAACAATAAAAATATCTATTAAAAGGTTTTGACAAAAAAATTTTAATCATTTTATAAATATATAAACGAATCGATTAATTTAATGTCACGTATTTATGGTATTAAATAACCAGATTTTAAAGAAATTAATGTTTATATGTTATTAACTAACTTAGGTTAAATCAAAATAAATTAATTAATCTTAACAGTTTTATATTGTTTTTTATCGATAAATAAAATAGAAAAAATTATTTCTATAAAGTTGATATAAAATCATATATTTTGTACACATAAAATTTCACATTAGTATAACAATAAAAATTTACTTTATTTTACATTAATAAGGCTTATTGAAACAATAACTTATATTTCATCGAGCATATGAAAAAACCAAAATAACTAGATACGTATGTTACTACTATCTTAATCGTATAATACGCATGCGTAATATTTTTCACTTTTAACCAAGTCGTTTGATGGTGAAAAATTTACATGAAAAAGTATACATTTATTCATGAAAAGAGGACATATAACCATTCACTACAAATTCACGTGAAACTTTTCACATTATGAGAGTTTATGATAGAGAAATAACATTTATGTTATAGACAACTAAAAATCAACATTAAACAGTACATCTTTTCGAATTAAACCACATGCTAATTAGTACATTATGAAACATGTATCATGCAGAATGTAATAAATCTTTTTCATTTTTCACGTAAACATTTTCACATGAAATTTTTCATGTGAAAAGTGAAAAATGAAAAAGTTTCATGATCGATACTCTAGTTTGAACGAAGCAACTGGGAAAGAAATTCCCTATGACATATCCGATGCGTTCCGAAACTTGTAAACAGTACATTACGATTTTTTGTAGTTGCAACGTCAGTGTCAGTGAGCTCGTTTGCGACCGTCACAATGCGTGGTGGAGTTTTTTGTAGCTTCATTTTATTTCCGACATTTTAGAATTTCTAAACAAGATCGGCAGAAATACAATTCGAGAGTTCGAGCAGTTTCAAGTGTCATCACTGCTCACCGTAGGTTATCATTGGTAAATAAATAAATAAATAAATAAATAAATAAATAAATAAATAAATAAATTGTGGTAAATGAAGCGGTGATACCGTACCGATTCTAGCCGTTTCTAGCGGAGACATGGCATGGCACTGGCGGAACTCGTCTGCTCGACGCTAGTCGTAGTGTAAAATCACGTGAAATTGGCGAAATTGACCAAGTTCACCTGAAATTGCCACGTACTGACGCATCTCGTTTCTGTTTAGCCACACGTTAACGAAGCGATCAGCCGATCTGTTGACGGTGTGCAGTTTGTATCTTAGTCGTACGACTGTCGTTCGCGAAGTCGCTACGTCGCATCACGTCACGTCACGCAGGAAGTATGATATGTATGTATATATCGTTGGCATAGTATTAATGATTTGCCGATAGTAAGTGCCTGAAAAGTATGTATGTACGCCGTAACATTGTCATGTGTTAACGTACATACGTCATTTCGAGTTAACCTATTCATTAAAGCTAGGTGTCGTGCAACCGTCATTTTGCGCAACGTTTTCTTATCGGGACACACGCAAAATATCGCGGTTTTAACCTTTACACCCTATGCAGCTTTTACCTCGTCGTGGACTACTTTCGCGAGGAAGTACATGCATGTATTCTTGGCAGAATGAAATTTGTATCTATTTTTTCTTATAATCAATATGCCTATAGCACAATGGCGAGTCCTGTCACTCTTCTGGTTTCTTAATTTCTCTCGTAAATCGTATCATTCTTATTACATGTATTTTTTCACTTCTTTACTATTAATTACGTATCAATACAATGAGTTAAATTTCTGTATATAAGATCATTTAGATTTTATAAAATAAAACTTTTCTATCTATAAGGTAAAATTTATCTCATTGATGTGTGGGATATCTTATGTGCATTTTAGGTTACTTTAGTAGCAACGATGTCCGTACACTATAAATTTAAATCTACTTTGGATTATGACACTGTGTCATTTGATGGATTGCACATTTCAGTGGCAGATTTGAAAAAGGCTATATTTCATCAGAAACGTATTGGCAAAAATACAGATTTTGATCTGCAAATTACAAATGCACAAACAAAGGAAGGCAAATGTCTCAATTTTTCTTGAAATTTCTCATGAAATTTTTTTTCTCCATCTTACACGAAACTGTCCAACTATTGATTATATTATTAATAATATTCAGTAATCATATTCATCTCCTTAGATTATACGGATGATAATGCGCTAATTGCTAAAAATACTAGTCTTATTGTCGCTAGAGTTCCATTGACAGTACAACAGAAACGTTCTTGGGATCGAAATGAAACTCCTCCGTTCAGTAATGTAAAGGATGAAACTAATTTAGGTAGAGCCGTAGATCTTACGAGATTAGATGGCTCGGAGGAAGATAAGATCCGTGCAATGATGACACAATCGACTCAAGATTACGATCCATCAAAGTATTCAATTTTATATTTATTTGTTGACACCAATGAAATATTTTTACTTGAATTAAATTATGTATAATTAAAGTAAGAAAATAAGGTATATATATATATATATATATA